TGTTTCTCTCTCTCTCTCTCTCTTCCTTCCACTCTCTAAAAAGCAATGGAAAAAATATCCTTGAGTGAAGATTAAAAAAAAAATCCTTTGGAGGACATATCCTAAAAGGCCACAAGATGGAAATACAGGGTATCCCCCAAAAATGTGTACACACTTTAACAGCTGATAGCTCAATTTTGAAAATGAAATGTATTTTAATAAACACTGCCTTTATAATTATTCAAAGTGTGTGTATACATTTTGGGGGCACCCTATATTACCACAAAAAAGATAATATGTGGCCATCTAAGTGTGTGCATATTATACATTTTTGTACCTTTTTTAGTATGTGTCTTCCTCAATGTCTAGTGTTCTTTGTGAACCTGTCAGTCTCTTTGTGTTTTTATATTATCTTCTATGTTTAAGTCATTCTAATAGCTTTTTCCCCCTTTCGCTTTCCCTTCATTTATTCTTTTTCCTCACATTCTTCCCCAAATAAAATAATTTCGAAGCATGTTATACTGAATTATAATCTCAAGTAAAATTTCATAAAATTTCTTTTTTACTGGAACTATTAGCTTCTTTTAAAACTCTAAAAGAAGGACAGTGGTTTCTCTGGGGGAAATATCTCAGTTTTTTTTGTAGCTTGTGTTGCTTTCCTGTGTGTCAATGACTATCAATTTAAAGACTCCTTACCATTGCTTTTAAGGGTGAAATGGTTTCCATCTCCACCTTCCCTGTTATGCAAGCTATTATGAGGAAAACTAGGTACTTAAATGCAAAACTTGCAAGAGACCATGGCAAAAGAAATATTAAAGATGTCTAATGAGATAACTTAGAGATGTGACTTAGTAAACAATTGATTATTAATGGACAAGGTGAAATTTTTGACTTGAAAAATTCAACACTCATATGATTTTATTTATGTACCTGCTGTGAGGATGAAACACTATTCAGGCTAGGTTTTGAAGTAAAGAAGAAAATTAAAGATGTTATTCAAGATGGGCCTTGAAGGCTGGATAGGATTTCTGGAAAGGATCTATTCCTTGGAGGAAAGGTAAACTGCAAAGGAAAGACACCCAACAACGGAGATGAATCACAAAAACATCATGCTGAATGAAAAATGTCCAGATTAGGGAAAGAAAAGAGTACATACTACATGGTACCATTTATATGATATCCTACCTCTAGTGACAGAAAACAGGTCACGCTGGCCTGTGGTTGCAAGTGAGGGTGGGACTGATTTGGAAGGGACATCAGGGTACGTTTTGGTGTGACGGTAATCGCAATTACACAGGCATATACATTTGCTCACACTCAGAATGATACTCTTAAAATGGGTGTATTTTATTTTATGTAAGTTATACCTCAATAAAGTTGATTAAAAATACAAAACAATGGAAAGTCCCGGGGTGGGAAAGTACAGGCCTTTCATGGAGATCTGAATGTCACTCAATTTTCGCCCCTTTTTTGATTATGGCCTCTTGTGTTGCCACAAACATTATACATGTCTCCACCATGCTATTTTTAAAATATATCCACTTTCTCAACCTCAATTTTACACTAGTTAACTTGTTGTTACTAGAAATAGACAACTTAATAGATAGACTGTCTAATCTGACTCCTACACTTGAGGAGGTAGTAATGGTTGAGAGCTTGGACTCTAGAACCAAACTAGCTGGATTTAAATCCCAGTTGCTACCTAATAACTTTATAATCTTAAAAAGTCACTTGATGTGCCTCAATTTCTTCACCTGAAAAAATGGAGATATGGAACTTATAAATTTATTACGAGAATAACATTAGTTAATATGTATAAGGTGCTTAGGATCCTGCCTCTATATACCAAGTGTTCAGTAAATATTAGTATTGAGTATTATCTTTTCGTAGGTGAGGAAAGTAAGACTCAGAGAGGCTGAGATGATTTGCCCAAAGTCATATCTAGCCAGGAAGAAAGGCCATATCTACCCCAGCTGTTCTGTTCCTTGACAAGGCCAAAGTAACTGTTAAAAGAACCACATGCCCAACTGTCCTTCTGGGCACATGGTTTCTAGCTCCTGAGAGGCTAGCCAAGTCAGCTGATGGTTTCATAGTGAAAACACTAGTCCACAGCCTTAGGCCCTGGGTGTTCACCAGGGAAATTGTTTCATACACAGACACAAAAAGGAAGTACAGTGTGCAAATAAGTAAGAGTGGACGTGACTGACCGAGTTAGAGTATTTGAACATCTGTTTGTCCCTCTGGAACAAAGAAAGTGCCCGCTTGGCCCATGTTGGTTCTTCAATAAATATTTGTTGAATGAACAAATAGCTAAAGGAAGAGAGTGGGACAAAGGTAAATACCGAGGAGAGACAGGGGTTAAGTGGGTGACAAGGATAGTGCAAGGATACGCACATAGATAAGGGGAGCATGAGTGGTCTCAGGGAAGTTGACAGAAAACTTTCATCCAATAAAACTGTAATACTTCTGACTTCATAAATTTGGGCCGAAATATGCTTCTTCATTATCAATGAGCTGAATGACTTTGGGAAAACACCACTTTGGTAAGGATTTTAAGAGTATAAATAGGATTACTGCGAAATAAAGATCCAGAAATAATTAAATTTTAAATTCCTATTTTTTAAAATTGACACAGACTTCTTAAGAATCTTTGTCAGGAACAATTTATTAGCCTAATCCATACCAATAAATATGTCTAAAAGAAGAAAAGAAACTTATTTTTTAAACCTATTTTAGCCTTTTTTATTTAAAAAAAAAAAAAAAGGCTGATCCTTCATGCAATTAGCCTGAATTAATTTATTATAGCTAATTAAATAATTCTGGGCTCTCTCTGTATTAAGAAGAGACTTTCAGTCCTTCATTTTAGCCATTTGTTGCTCCCTTCATCTTCTGGCATAGTACTGTCATCATTCTTACATGGAATAGTTTTTCTGATGTTCCCTTCTCTTCAGGCAACCCACAACTGTTACTAAAACATTATTGCACTCTGGTGATTCCATCTTCCCTTTTCCTCAACAAAGTGGTGGAAGCTTTATAATACGATTATTCCATGTTTTGAATGTTTACGGAAAATTAAATGTATGCTCATGATCGAAAACATGACATGCAAAATATAATATGTAGCTGCAGCTTTCTTAAAAGATCACAAAGGAGATATTTCTCTGGAAAAACTCAAGACTTCTCTGTTTCTTTTATGAAAAAAAGTTAATATTTTATCCTATGAAAACCATAATTCTTCTGATATGTCTACCCTACCACTCTTAAGTAAAATCTTTTAGCACATTTTAAAACAAATTCTGCTAGTATGTCCCTGTTTGTTTGTTTGCCTGCTTGTTTCTTTGTTTTAACCTGGAAGGTTTGTTTTTCTTTTTAAATTAGAACACATGAACATAGATTATAGTTATAGCTCAAAGGGAGAAATTTTGTGGGCCCTTTATCCCATACTATAGTTTTCAGTAATTTGCTTTTCAGTATATAGGTTTAAATTCCAACAATTACATAAAAGCCCTACTTTTTTCAAAAAGTGAATCCTATGTCTTTTCACTTTATCTGAAAGTTGTTTGTTTGCTTATTTGTTTTTGTTTGAGTGTAGAACTTAGATCTTTATGGTTCAGTCTGAATCAGCCTGATCCAGTGCAATTGCCCTGGTTAGAACTTCCAGTAAAATGTTGTACAGCCATAGTGAGAACAGACATTCTTGTCTTGTTCCTGGCCTCAGGGGCAAAGCAGTGAGCCTTTCACAGTTAAGTATGATTTAATTACCATAGGTTTTTCATCGATCCCCTTTATAGGGTTGGGGAAGTTCCCTTTTATTCTTAGATTGCTGAGAGTTTTTATCTGAAATGGAGGCTGGATGTTATAAACACTTTTTCTGTATCTATGGAGATGATCATATGGTTCCTTGTTTGTAGCATGTTAATGTAATCGAGTGTTGAACGAACCTTGAGCTCCTGGGATAAACTACTTGGTCCCAGTGTATTTTCCTTCTTGTAGATAGCTGTATTTGATTTGAGGTTCAATGGAAGTGAGCACCCCCATATTCACAGGTTGGATCGCGACTCGCTCTTTCTTAGTGCCTCAGTGACCCCTGGCACCGGATAGGTCCTGCTGAAAGATAAGCTGCTGAGTGCCCGCTGCCTCCTCTTGGCCCATGTCAGGAGCCAGCAGGCAGCCGAGCCAGGAGCCTGATGACGCTGCTGAGGGCACACCCGTTAAGAGCACAGGCTTTGCACCCTTCGCTAGCTGTATGGCCCTGAAAAAGATACTTTTGTTTTCTGTGCCTCCATTTCCCCATCAATAAAATGGGGTAATAGTACTATTTGTTGTGAGAATTAGATTAGATAATAAATATAAAGTATATTTAGCATTGTTCCTCAAAGGAAGTAAAATGACTAGGAAAGTTTAGTAATTATTATCACTACTTTTTTTGTACAAGGGCTTTACAACCCATAAAACCCTGTAAAAATAAGAGATTAGACACAACTATTACAAAAGGAATCCCCCCATAGCCTCATTTATTTCTTCCTCCCACTCACCTCTCTGTTATTTCTGGTAACAAGACACTTCCATAGAAGCAGTAGCATAGAGAAAGATGGTGCGGATCATGAGAGCGTTTAGTGCCTCACTCCTTCCCCAAAGCCCATCTCAGCAAACACCAAGAATGGGCTCTGGCTTACAAACCCACCCCTCCTGGGGCACCACCAGGTGATAATGCACCTGCAGAAGCCTTGTCTTGGCCTTTGGTGAGATGTATCCTCTTTTCTTTCCTGATTTCAAGAAAGTGTTTCCTATCCCAGGTACAATTTGAGTACCACTTAAAGCCCCTAGCTTACCAGGGCTGCTGCTAACACATGCAAGTAGCCTAGGATAAATTAGAAAAAGGGACCTCTACCTCAAGTCATGTTCCTTCCACTTTGTTAGAACACGTTAGTTTACTGTCCTTGCACCGTGCAAAACCTACATAACCATACGTGGCAGCCCTGTGACTTGTGCTCAGAATATTTATCTCTGTTCCTCTTTAGGTCCTGAAGCACCTGCGTCACCTAAACTTTACCAACAATATGGGGGAACAGGTGACTTTTGATGAATGTGGTGATTTGGTGGGGAACTATTCCATCATCAACTGGCATCTCTCCCCAGAGGATGGCTCCATTGTGTTTAAGGAAGTTGGCTATTACAACGTCTATGCCAAGAAAGGAGAAAGGCTCTTCATCAGTGAGGAGAAAATCCTGTGGAGTGGGTTCTCCAGAGAGGTATGTGCTGTCCATCAGAACCCGGATGTCTCCACCATGGCAGGAAACTGTGCTGGGCTTTGGAGGGCCTTGGGCTGTTTCACCACTGGACTTTCAGAGTGATGAGTCCACTTCCCCTCAGCTCACTTACACTGCAAGCTCAGGGCTCCTTGTGAAATCCACGCGTGCTTAGCGTACAGAGGAGAATCCTTGGAACTTGAGCCTTATGCTTATTATGTTGAAATAATTTTATTCTTTACAAATATGACTCCCTGGTTAGTAATAGTTTCCTTGACTAAAATTTTCCCCAACCAGAGCAAAATATTTAAGCAAATCTAAACATCACTCAAGTCAGGGCCTGGATAATAAATTTACACAGAGGTAATTCCCAGTGATTCAAACAGTTCAGGGCTGCTGATCTATCAACCAAAATGACAATTTCTTTTTCTCCTTGGGAGATCTGTAACAAGTAAGAGGATGTTTGTGACTACGGTCAGGATCCCCCTCCCTTGAGTATCTCTGCATCTAGATGCCTGATTAATAACCAAATGCGCATTACCCAGTGAATGTTCACTGAAGGAAAAAAATGCATGATGTGCTGAAATGATGGCCGTTCTGTGGTGGTTGTGTCCCAGGATGTAGTAGGCTCCTGAGGACCCAGGTCCTCTGTAGAAACAAACCCTGGACAAGGCATCCTCTTTAGCTCTCCCAAGAAGCCTGGATGAGACCCACTACATTACTCTTTGCATTTGTCTTTCTAATATCACATTTGAGAGTCTTGAACTAATTTTTATAACAAGACCAAAGAGTCAACTTCATCTCTTTACCAAATGCCCCTTGGGTGGGTGGGTTTCTGATCAGATGCAACAATATCATTGTTTCCCAATATGTAGTATAGTTACTTACGCAAAGGTCTCCTATACATAGTGAATCTTATCCACAGTGTGTGAGTCATTGTGAGCTTCTACCTCAGAGGATGGATTCTTAGTGATAAACATGTCAGGACCTTTTCCAGACAGAGATTTGGGGCTCCAGAGGTTATAAAACTCTATCCACTAATTATACCCTTGTCTAAATGATCACAACTGACTGGAATCTAAATTGATCAGCTGTACAATCACTGATTCCCTGCTGTTAAATCACCCAGGTTATCTTTTACCTCCGTTAATGCACATAATTGATTGCCTCTAATAGGTATATATCTCATCTCCCTTCCTGCAAGAACTATTTCTTGTATAGTTCTCTATAACCCAAACATCCCCTACTAGCCTGTGCACACTGAGGGTTTAAACACTGGTAAATGAATAACAGGGAATCCTCATGAATTCAGTCATTTATGTCCCTGGAATAGTTGATAGACTTATAAGTTAAATCTAATATTCCCATAGAAACATTACCTCAAACCTAGTACACACTCTTTTTTCTGTGTTTTTTTGTAGAAATGACCACAAAAATGCCATCTATATTTAACTACAAGTAATGTATTAATAACTTCCCTACATAGCTCACAAAGTTGTTAATGAGATCCAAGGTGCAACAATATACTATAAACTGAATTATACTATATCAATACAAACTTATTAATATAGCATTATAATATCCTAATCAATGTCTCAATTTACTTTCTTATGAAGCACTTTAGAGCTAGAGGGTCTTTTTCTTTTTTTTAATTTAGAGAATCTTTAAATATCTTTGTATCCAACACTCTCAATTTGCAGTTGAGGACACTGAGGTTTAGGAAGGCAAAGGTGACTTCCAAGACAAGACAGTCAGTGTAAGAGTTGAGACTAAGATCCAAGTTCTCTGACTCTGATCCCAGTGCTCCATCCTCTACACTGTGCTCTCCATAATTTTTTTCTTGTTTTATTGCAACAAATCAGAAGGAAAAGAGACATCTTCATTGGGGTATTAGAATTCAGATGGACTTCCTTGGCCGGAATTAGGTAAGCATCTTTGATGAAGCAGTTAGGAAGACTTGAAGATACTCTCCGGCTTTTTGCAAAATGGATTCTTCTGGTGGCTGCCTCAGCCCACTCTTTTGGTGGTGGGATTTCTCTTTGGCTGAGGAATGCAGAAGGATGCAGTAAGAGGGCTTGGAGAGTGGCGTTCTTCTAATCCCTGACTACTATAAAGCAGGATTTGGAACAGTGAAAAGTACAGACTTTGGAAGACTGACCTGGGTGTGGATCCCAGCTCTCCAATAAGACACTGTATGACCATGAGCCTGTTCCTTAACCATTATGAAGAAGAGAAAAAGAAGCATGACAGAGACTGATAAAGGCCCCCAATATTTGTTATCCCTTTTTTCTTTAATAATAGAACTCAATTTTAGTTGTGCACATGACTATCCAGAATAAAGATATTTCCCAGTGTGCCTTTCAGCTAAGTGTGGCCACATGGCTAAACCCTGCAGAATGCGATGCAAGTGGCAGTGTCATGTGATAGAGCCTGGGAATCTTCTTTTAAGGATCCTTTGCTCTCTTCTTCATCTCTTCCTGGGTCTTGCTTCCTGGAAACCAGATGCCTGGCAGGTGGCAGCTAGACTTGGTGTACTCTGGGACTTTTGTTGAGTGGCCTCTGACCCAGCACTGGCACCAATATTGAACCTGTATAAATCTGGTGAACACCACTCACCCTACCTGGTGTCTCACTGAGAATTTCCCTCATGCAACTTGAGTACCGCCAGGCTCTTTCAGTAACTGAGCCTAATAGGCAGCCAGCAGATGGAGGCAAGCAGAGGTGGATCTAGGGGTCCCTTGGGCCTTTTGCTGACCTGTTCCTAGACTCAGTGCTGGTGGAAGCCAGCCTTGGTGCACAGCTTGGACCCTCCCACACACACCTAGGCCTAGCAGAGGAAGCTACAAACTGTGGAACGCTTTGTAGCTCCAAACAGGTTGCCCAGGGCCAATCACAGGCAGGGTCTGACATTGACCTGCACCATAGTCCTTCCCAAGAGGCCTCAGAACCAACACACTCAGTGGAAAGCTTCAGACAGCATCAGAGCAGGATCAAATTGCCTTCACAAGTGGCATATCCAAAGGGAGATCTTGGCAGGCACCAGATCATGTTGAGGCAAACTCCACTTTGTATGCTCAGCACCTGCACAACAGCTTGTACACTGTTGTCAAGGCCAATTCTCACAGTCAGCCAACCTGAGGGTTGAACCCATCCACGAATGGGAAAATAGGAATCAAGACTCAATTACAACAGGAGGGCTCACATAACCCATATAAGGGGCATTCCTGGAGCACCCAACTCAGGTGATCAAGGAGACTGTGCCACTGGAGCCACAGGACACCTACTATATAAGGCCACCCTACCAAGACTGGGAGACATAGCAGATCTACCTAATACATAAAAACAAACACAAAAAGGTAGTCAAAATGGGAAGACAAAGAAACATGCCCCAAATGAAAGAACAGGAGAAATCTCGAGAAAAAGAGCTAAATGAAATGGAGACAAGCAATTTACCAGATAAGAGTTCAAAAACATGGTTATAAGGATGCTCAAGAAACTTAGTGAGAACTACAACAGCATGAAAACGGCCATAGAAAGCATAAAAAACAATCAGCCAGAAATTAAGAATACAATGTCTGAAATGAAGAATACACTAGAAGAAATAAACAGTAGGTTGGATGAAGCAGAGGATCAAGTCAACAATTTGGAGGACCAGATAGCAGAAACAATCAAAACAGCAAAAAGAAAAAAAAAAAAAATCCAAAAAAATGAGGATAGTTTAAGGAACCTTTGGGACACCATGCAGTGTAACAACATCTGCACCATAGGAATACCAGAAAAAGGAGAACAGATTGAGAATCTATTTGGAATAATAGTGGCTTAAAACTTCCCTAACCTGGCCAAGGAAAAAGACACACAAGTCCAGAAAGTGCAGAGTCCCAAACAAGATAAAACCAAAGCGGTTCACACTAAGACATATCATAATTAAAATGCAAAAGGTTAAAGACAAAGAGAGAATCTTAAAAACAGCAAGAGAAAGGCAGTTAGTTGCCTACAAGAAAGCTCCCATAAGACTTTCAGCTGGTTTCTCAGCAGAAACATTTCAGGCCAGAAGGGACTGGCATAAAATATTCAAAGTTGTGAAAAGCAAATACCTACAGCCAAAACTACTTTACCTAGCAAGACTATCATTTAAAATTAGAGGAGAAATAAAGAGCTTCCCAGACAAGAAAAAGCTGAAGGAATAATTACCACCAAACCAGTATTGCAAGAAATGTTGAAGGGTCTTCTTTAAGAGGAAGAAAAGGAAGAAAAGAAAAAGGAAAAAAGAAAAGAAAAAAAGAGGAACATAGTTATAAAGAATATAATGGCAATAATATGTATCTCAAAAATCACTTTAAATGTAAATGGCTTAAATGCTGTAATTAAAAACATAGTGTAGCTGCATGGATAAGAAAGCAAGATCCAGCCCAGCCGGGCATGGCTCAGCGGTTGAGCGTCCACCTAGGATCCAGGAGCTCAGGGTTCGATTCCCAGTCAGGGCACATGCCCAGGTTGCGGGCTCCATCCCCAGTCAGGGGCGTGCAGGAGGCAGCTGATCAATGACTCTCTCATCATTGATGTTTCTATCTCTCTCTCTCCCTCTCCTTTCCTCTCTCTGAAATCAATAAAGATATATTTTTTAAAAAAAGAAAGCAAGATCCATACATATGCTATCTATAAGAGACCCACCTCAGAACAAAAGATACACAGAGGCTAAAAATAAAGATATGGAAAAAGATATTTCATGCAAATGGAAATGAAAAAAAAAGTTGGGGAGAGCATTTGAGATCTTGCTCCGCAGCATGCTGTCAGTTTGGCTCAAATAAACCTGTATAAAAATTCAAAAAACAAACAAATAAAAAGCTGGGATACAACGCTTATATCTGACATAACAGATTTAAAAAGAAAGGCTATAATAAAAGATAAAGAAGAACACTACATAATGATAAAGGAATCAATTCAACAAGAGGATATAACCCTTGTAAACATTTATGCACCCAACATAGAAGCACCTAAATATGTAAAGCTAATCTTAATGGACATAAAGGGAGAGATGGACAGTAATACAGCCATAGTAGAGGATGGGGATTTTAACACCCCTTTGATATCAATGGATAGATTTTTCAGACAGAAAATCAACAAGGAAATGGCAGCCCTAAATGCCACACCAGAGCAAGTGGACTTAATATCTTCAGAGCATGCTAAAGTAGAAGAATATACATTCTTTTCAAGTGCACATGGAACATTTTCCATGATAGACCACATGTTAGGACACAAAACAAGTCTCAATAAGTTTAAGAAGATTGAAATCATATGAAGCATCTTCTCTGACTATAATGGCATGAAACTAGAAATCGATCACAAGAAAAATACTGAAAAACATACAAAGACATGGAGGCTAAAAAACATGTTACAAAACAATGAATGAGTTAACAATGAGATCAAGGAAGAATCAAAAGTTACCTTTAAACAAATGAAAATGAGAACACAAGAACACAAAACATATGGAACACAGTGAAAGCAGTCATAAGAAGGAAATTCATAGCATTACAGGCCTACCTTAAGAAACAAGAAAAATCTCCAAAAAACAATCTAACTTTACACTTAAAGGAACTTCAAAAAGAACAACAAACAAAGCCCAAAGTGAGTGGAAGAAAGGAAAAAATAAAGATCAGAGCAGAAATTAATGAAATAGAGAGTCTAAAAAAAATAATACAAAAGATCAATGAAACCAAGAGTTGCTTTGTTGAAAAGAAAAACAAGATTGACAAACTTTTAACCAGACTCATCAAGAAAAAAAGAGATAGGATCCAAATAAAATTAAAAATGGAAGAGGAAAAGTAACAACTGATGCCACAGAAATACAAAGGATTGTAATAAAATACTGTGAATAGCTATATGCCAACAAATTGGACAATCTAAACAAAGTGGATAAATTCCTAGAAACATACAATCTTCCAAAACTTAATCAGGAAGAATTAGAGAATCTGAATAGACTAATTACAAGTAATGAAACTGAAGCAGTAATCAAAAACTTCCCAGCAAACAAAAGTCCTGGACCAGATAGCTTCACAGGTGAATTTTACCAAACATTCAAAGAAGAACTAATACTTATCCTTAAACTATTCCAAAAAATTCAAGAGGAAGGAACACTCCCAAGCTCATTTTACAAGGCCAGCATTATCCTAATTTCAAAACCAGATAAAGACACTACAAAGAAAGAAAATTATAGGCCAATATCCCTGATGAACCCAGATGCTAAAATTCTCAACAAAATATTAGCAAATCAGATCCAGCAACACATTTTAAAAATCAGACACCATGATTAGGTGGGATTTATTCTGGGGGTGCAAGGCTGGTACAATGCCTTCAAATCAATAAATGTGATACATCACATAAACAAAATGAAGGATAAAAATCACATGATGATATCAATTGATGCAGAAAAAGCATTTGATAAAATCCAGCACCTATTTATGATAAAAACTCTCAGCAAAGTGGGAATAGAGGGGACATACCTAAATGTAATAAAGGCCATATATGACAAACCCACAGCCAACATCATATTCAATGGAAAAAAACTAATAGTGTTTCCCTTAAGATCAGGAGCAAGAGAGGGATGTCTGCTTTTACCATTCTTATTCAACATAGTACTAGAAGTCCTAGCCACAGAAATCAGACAAGAAGAAGAAATAAAAGGCATCCAAATTGGAAAAGAATGAGTAAAACTGTCACTATTTGCAGTTGACATGATAATTTATATAGAGAACCCTAAAGATTCTACCAAAAACCTACTAGAACTGATAAGTGAATTCAGTAAAGTATCAGGATAAAATAAATATCCAGAAATTAGTTGCATTTTTATACACCAATAATGAACTTTCAGAAAGGGAAACTAAGAAAACAACCCCTTTTACAATTTCATCCAAAAATAAAATAAAATACCTAGGAATAAACTTAACCAAGGATGTAAAAGATCTATACTTGGAAAATTATAAGACACTGAAGAAAGAAACTGAAGAAAATACAAATAGTTGCCCCCAGTACACACCCCAACTGGGGATCAAACTCGAAACCTAGGTATGTGCACTGACCAGGAATCAAACTGGAGACCTTTTGGTTGGAATGACACTCCAACCAATTGAGCCGCCTGGCCAGGGCTCATCAGATGCTTTTCTCTCATCTATTGATGATCATATTTTTCTGTTAGTTTATTACTGCAATGAATAACGCAAATTTTCTAATATCGAACTTGTTTGCATTCCTGGCATAAATCTAACATTATCATGTTGTGTTTTCTTTTTTATGCCCTTTTGAGTTTGTTTGTTCATTGTTTTAGTATTTTGCATCTATTTTCAAGAAGTAGAAAATAGTTGTACTCTTCCCAGATCCTTTCACATTCCTTATACTTTGTGTGCACCTCCAGGACCTCTGTGTATTTTTGCATCCAATAACCAGAACTCACTGCTCTTTCTCAAAAGACTGCCTGCAGGCTAATGGAACCCACAGGCTCAGAGTGACAGAAGAGCCTAGGAATTTACATTTCCCCCAGGTGACCCTTAGCCAGTGATGGGTGGAAGTCTGAAAGCCCTAGCCCCTTCTCCTCAGGTCAGGACTGTTCTGAGGCATAATGTTCAGTCCAGAGTTCCCCTGAGAGCCAGCCAGGAGCTGCCCTCTGAGAGACTGCTCGAGATCACACCCTTCCTCCCCTCCCTTCTATGTTCTACTTCCTCCCATATCTTCCTGTTTCCAGTGGGAGAACTCTCTTTATAAATCATTCGAACACAAATTCCTGACTTAGGACTACTTCTGAAAACTTAATACGTGAGATGGGCCTGTACTTTTTTTTTCTGTACTGTTCTTGTCTGGTTTTGGAATGAGGGTTATAGTGATCTTACAAGAATGAGTTAGAGGGTGTTTGTTTTTTAATTTTTATTTTTCCTAACCTCTAGTAGAGTTTGTATAAGATTAGATTGGTCTGTCCTTTGAAAATTTAGTATTACTTGCCTGTGATGAACCCAGGATGTGAATATGTGGTAGGGGTGGAAGTAAGGGGCAGAGGAAAGCAGATAGTTAGATGTAATGTTATTATCCCAGTCTTAGCTTTTGTTTTGGGTGGTAGCCATTAAAAATTACTAACTAGCCCTAGCCAGTGTGGCTCAGTGGTTGGATCAGCCTTTGTGCCAAAGGGTCATGGGTTCAATTCTCAGTCAAGGCCACATACCTGGTTTGCAGGTTTGATCCCCAGCCCAGTCGGGGCACGTGCAAGAGGCAGCCAGTCAATATCTCTCTCTCTCTTTCTCTCTCTCTCCCCCTTTCTCTCTAAAATCAATAAAAACATGTTTTAAAAATAAAATGGGCCCATCATTCCCACTCTGTGAAGTCATTCGGGGCCCTCACTTTGTCTTGGAATACCATGAACATCTCTCCCAGTGTCACTTTGAAATGTGATGAGCTTGTCCTTACATTTCTATCAGCTATAAATCCAGAGCCCCAACATGAAGCCCTACCATTGGGCAGAACACCTCTCTACCGCCTCTGTAACCTCCTGGTTTTTGGGTCCTCATTTCTAAAAATGTGAGGGTTTTNTGAGCAAGTAATGATGGAAAGAAACAAGGATTATGATTAATCAAATTCTGTGCACTTGAAGTCCATTAAGGAAACAAATAAGTAAACTGAAACCTCTGTTATCTGAAATTAACATAGCTACTGCAGCTTTCTTTTGTTTAAGAATTGCCTGATATACCTTTCTGATCCACTCTGAGCCCTCCATGCCTGTCCTGCCTGCCCCCCTGAGGGCCTCAGAAATCTCCCTGTGGAGCCTAAAATGAAATTGCAAGAATTGCAATTCATTGCAAAGTTTAGAGTCTCATTTTCAAACAAATTTCCCCTCATCTCAACATCTCCCCATGTGACTGTCCCTCTGTGTGTAGGTTCATGTCCCTGTATCTTTTAGTTTGTCTCTAACTTTTACTACCATGGAGAGTAAACAGATATCTCATTCTGGGACCTGGAGGGAATGGAAGGGGGGTCATTTAAGGAAGATTTTGGTCACAGTGTAAACTCCCAACAATTAATCTTCTTAGAATCCCACAGACGTGTGTGAGCGCTTGCGGCATGCGCACTTGCATGTTCACTCGTCCACTCCCTTTCATAGATACCAGGAGGCAGGGTCTCTGGACCTTCCTCTGCCTGGAATAGGCCTAGAGTCTGCCCCACCGGTCCTTGCGCCCAACTCCTCCCCCTCGCATGTGTCAAAGGAGCTGTAAGATTGACCCCACAGATGCAGCCCCTGACTTTGTGCTCTCCACCTTCCAGGTGCCTTTCTCCAACTGCAGCCGAGACTGCCTGGCAGGGACCAGGAAAGGAATCATCGAGGGGGAGCCCACCTGCTGCTTTGAGTGTGTGGAGTGTCCTGATGGCGAGTACAGCGATGAGACAGGTAAAGAAACAGCCCTTTGTGGGTGCTGTGTAGGGCTTGGTCCACCATGTAGGACTTGGTCCAAGTCAGTGAAGTCCCTGGAAGGGCTAGGCTGAGACGGTGCTTAGTACATTTTCTCATTTAACAAGGTATGTCCGAGCATCGTACTGTGCTGGGGGATAGGAAGGGAATGTTAGATGTCTTATAATACCGTGAGAGCTTACCAACATACCCGTTACACATCTTTCTTTTACTTTGATACTGCTTTCCAATATTGGTTTTTCTTCTCTTATAGTTCAGGGGCTCTGAATAGACAAACTTTTGTCTGTTCCAGGCTCCAGAGTTAATAGGCCAGGATAGATTGCCTGCTCAGTGCTTGGCACTGTACTTGCTGTCTTATGTTTTTCCTGTGCCTCAGTTTCTTCATTTCTAAAGTGGGAATTAAATGAGTTAATATGTGTAAAGCACATGGTAAGTTCTAGATAAATGTCTGCTCAGTAAAATCCTCGGTTGGCATATTGGAAGCACTCTATAAGTATTAACTCTAATTGTTATTATCTCATTTCACCCTCCCCATAATAATAGGGTTATTATTGCTTCCAGTTCATAGATGAGAAAACTAAGGCCCAGAGAGGTTAAGGAGCCTGACGAAGGTCATACAGCTAGTAAATGGCAGGGCCAGGATTCCCATCCAGCTCTCTAACTAGAATGCTCTTGCTCCTTTCATTTCCCCGCACTGCATGCTGCGCGGGACACAGCAGAGACTTAATAAATGTCCCTTGATTGAATGAGTCTGTATCTTCCTTCATTGGAAGGCCATGGAGGAATGCACAGGTCATATGTGTGAGATACTCTACCTTAATCTAAGAGGATGTCTTCTCTGATGTCTACAAAGCCCCTCCACATGTCCAAAATGAGTAAGGCTGAGCTTGATTCATTCTGTGAAAAGTTGATGGACTATGTCATACCTCTGGGCAGCCACCTGTCCAGCAGGCTGGATCAGTCCCTGCTACAAACCATCAGCGGAGAGTCTTAAAGGAAACATGTATACTTCCCACCATGTACAAAGCGGGGGGAATCACAGGATCATCAAAGGTACATGCAATTAACTAAGTACATGATTAAACATAAGTCAGGGTGCCATATATTGTCTGATCATGTAAAAATCACAGCTTTTCATCAGGACCATGTAAAGTGACCGACACCCCATAACCTGTGGTGCCCTCACGGCCACATTCCCGCTCACAAATGTTAGTCTGTGCCGCTCAGTCACTCCTCTTCGCTGGGACATTTTACAGATGCCAGTGCCTGTGACAAGTGCCCCGATGACTTCTGGTCCAACGAGAACCACACGTCCTGCATCGCCAAGGAGATTGAGTTTCTGTCGTGGACCGAGCCCTTCGGGATCGCGCTCACGCTCTTCGCGGTGCTGGGCATCCTCCTGACGGCCTCGGTGCTGGGCGTCTTCATCAAGTTCCGCAACACGCCCATCGTCAAGGCCACCAACCGCGAGCTCTCCTACCTGCTCCTGTTCTCGCTGCTCTGCTGCTTCTCCAGCTCCCTGTTCTTCATCGGGGAGCCCCAGGACTGGACCTGCCGCCTGCGCCAGCCGGCCTTCGGCATCAGCTTCGTGCTCTGCATCTCCTGCATCCTGGTGAAAACCAACCGCGTCCTCCTGGTGTTTGAGGCCAAGATCCCCACCAGCTTCCACCGCAAGTGGTGGGGCCTCAACCTGCAGTTCCTGCTGGTCTTCCTCTGCACCTTCATGCAGATCGCCATCTGCGCCATCTGGCTGTACACGGCGCCCCCCTCCAGCTACCGCAACCAGGAGCTGGAGGACGAGGTCATCTTCATCACCTGCCACGAGGGGTCGCTCATGGCCCTGGGCTTCCTCATCGGCTACACCTGCCTGCTGGCCGCCATCTGCTTCTTCTTCGCCTTCAAGTCGCGCAAGCTGCCCGAGAACTTCAACGAGGCCAAGTTCATCACCTTCAGCATGCTCATCTTCTTCATCGTCTGGATCTCCTTCATCCCGGCCTACGCCAGCACCTACGGCAAGTTCGTGTCGGCCGTGGAGGTGATCGCCATCCTGGCGGCCAGCTTCGGCCTGCTGGCCTGCATCTTCTTCAACAAGGTCTACATCATCCTCTTCAAGCCGTCGCGGAACACCATCGAGGAGGTGCGCTGCAGCACGGCCGCGCACGCCTTCAGGGTGGC